TCACCAAATTTGTTAGGCCCCATTTGCCCTTAGTGAAGCCATGCTGGCTGTCACCAGTCACTTCCTTATTTTCAGTGTGCCTTAGCATAGTTTCCAGGAGGATCTGCTCCATGATCTTGCCAGGCACAGAGGTGAGACTGACCGGCCTGTAGTTCCCCAGGTCTTCCTTTTTTCCCTTTTTGAAAATGGGGCTTGTTTCCCCTTTTCCAGTCAGTGCAAACTTCACCAGGCTGCCACAACTTCTCAAATATAATGGAAAGTGGCTTAGGACACTTGGATGGATTTCATCAGGTCCCACGGACTTATGCAACTTCAGGTTCCTTAGATGGTCTCGAACCTAATCTTCTCCTACAGTGGGCAGTTTTTCCTTCTCATAGACCCTGTTTTTGCTTTCTGCAACTTGGGTGCTGTGGTTAGAGCCCTTGCTGGTGAAGACCGAGGCAAAAAAGTCATTCAGTACCTCAACCTCCTCCATATCCTGGGTGACCAGGTCTCCTCTTTCCTTCCAGGAAGGCCCACATCTTCCCTAGTCTTGCCTTTATCCGTGACGTTATCTACGGAAGTTTTTCTTGTTGTCCTTGATGTCCCTGGCCAGATTTAATTCTGTCTGGGCTTTAGCTTGCCTGATCTGGTTCTTGGTCACTTGGACTCTCTATATTTCATCCAGCCTACCCATTCTTGCTTCCACTGCTTGCAGGCCCCTTTTTTGCTTTTGAGTTTGTCAAGGAGCTCCTTGTTCATCCATGCAGGCCTCCTGGCTTTTTTGCCTGACTTCTTCTTTCTTGGGATGCATTGCTCCTGGGCTTGGAGGTGATCCTTGAATACCAACCAGCTGTCTTGGGCCCCTCTGCCGTCCAGTACTTTTTCCCATGTTACCCTGCCAAGGAGGTCCCTCAAGAGGCCAAAGTCTGCTGTCCTGAAGTTCAGGGTAGTGAGATTGCTGCACACCCTCCTTGCTGCCCTAAGGATCTTGAATTCTACCATCTTGTCATCTCTGCAACCGAGGCTGCCCTTGAGCCTGACACTCCCCACCAACCCCTCCTTGTTGATAAGGACAAGGAGCAGCATGGCTCCTTTCCTCCTTGGCTCCTCTACCATTTGAAGAAGAAAGTTGTCATCGACACATTCCAAGAACTTCCTGGATTTCTTATGCTCCGCTGTGCTGTCCCTCTAACAGATACTGGGGTAGTTGAAGTGCCCCATGAGGATCAGGGTTGGTGAATGCGATGCTGCTTCTATCTGTCTATAGAGCGCCTCATCCACCGTGTCACCCTGGTTGGGTGGTCTGTAGCAGACCTCTACTGTAACATCACCTGCCCCTGTACTCCCTTTAGTCCTCACCCATAAGCTCTCCATGGGGTCTTCATCTGTCCCCAGGTGGAGCTTCAGGCACTCCACCTGTTCATTGACATAGAAGACAACACCCCCTCCTCATCTACCCAGCCTGTCCTTCCTGAAGAGTCTGTATCCCTCTATTCCAAGCCATCCCACCACATCTGTGTGATGCCAATAAGATCATAGCCCTGGAGGCATGCGTACATCTCTAACTCCTCTTGCTTGTTCCCCATTCTACATGCACTTGTGTGAAGGCACTTCAGCTGTGTGCCCAATGGAGCTGACTTACTGGCTGGAGTGGTTGCATTTCCTTCATGCTGCTCTTCAGGTGGCCTTCCTTAGAGGTGTTTTATCTGTGACTCCCCAGTTCCTATTGCCTCAGGAGCCCCTGGCTCGTCCCTGTAAGACTTCATGTATGCTGCAGGGTACCCAGGACATCTCAGAGCACCAGGATGAGGGCCTTTGCTAGTGACCCTTTCCACAGATCTTGGAGCATCATCCCTTGGCTTGTGAAGAGCTAGCTGGATAATGTCCCCCTCCACCAACAAGCTTAGTTTAAAGCTCAGTCAATGAGCCCCGCTAGTTCACGAGCTAACACTGTCTTCCCTGCTTTGAGAAAGATGAACCCAATCCAACACCAGCAAGGCTGGTGCTGTGTAGGTCATCCCATTGTCAAAAAACCCAAAATTGTGGTGGTGACACCAGCCACGGAGCCAGGCATTTACAGACTGTACACATCTGTTTCTTTCAGAGTCCCTGCCTATAACCAGGAGAAAGAAGAAACATAACCTGCACACCAGATTCCACATTTCCAATGCCCTGAAGTCTCTTTTGGGCTATGTGTTGCCACCTTGTCGCCACTTATGTGAAAGAGCAATCATGGATAGTAGTCCCAGGGCTGAATCAGACTGGTGAGTTTCCTAGTGATGTCCCTGACCCAGGCCCCACAGAGGCAGCAGACTTCCCTAAGAAGAGGGTCAGCTGGTCCTGGCAACTCTTCTGGTGAAGTTGAACCATCTTATACGGGAATATGTAACATATAGGAATATATTGGATGACTGACTTTAGAGGGTACACCAATACTTGGCCAGAAAAAAATCTGTTAAAGAGACTGCCACCTCTCTGCTGCTGCACAGAGACGCACACCCTCTCCCATAGCACACAGAGACCAAGAAAGGGACAAGGAAACAGGCCACAATCCTTTGACGGGCAGTGTGTTGAAGGGAAGGTGATCTTCTGCATAATGACTAAATAAAATGTTAAAATGCAATACCATGGAAAATGAGACATAGGCTGGAGAACACTAGTAACCTCAAACAATATCCCAAATCTGTTTCTCAGTGGTTCTATCTCTAGTGCCCATCTGGAAGACATACACATATTTATCTCATACATTTCAACAACACAAATCTTGGAAACCTGCTAAGAAAGGTCTTATTGGATCTATATTTACACAGATTCAGTGACACCGTTACCCACGTATGAGGGATGGTAATACTTTTCATCCAAAAGGCGAGAAAAGTAGCTAACAACAAAGGAAGTAAAATACTTCTTGTCAAGTAGCCCAAAGAGCTGGATGAATCTCATAAAGACAGATTACTCTGAATAAATTTACCTCAATAAATTTACCTCAGTAGTGAGGTTTCTCTCTCTTGGCCATCACAGTATAAATGATGGTATTTTAATAGCATAACAAAAGCTTTGAAAGTAATACATAAATATTAGAAATGAAATCGAAGAATGTGTCTCCTTTACCAGAGTTTATTTTTATTTTCTTCGTAGTTGACAAAAAATCACTTTTTCAAAACCACTGTGTTATAAGAATAAAATTCTGTTACTTGCATTTGTTAAAAGAACATTCAAAAAGAGCAAATTATAATATGGACTATAGAAAAATAGGTATTGATAATGTATTCAGTCCTAGTTAGCATTTTTGCAGACAGCCACAGAAAAAAACCCAGGAAACATATGAGTCAGCTTGGTAACACATCCTGCTGATATTACATACATCATTGAATCAGGGAGGACTCTGGTTAAAGACTCAATCCTCTTTGAAGGTGTGACTCAGGGAAGTGATCTCCACGTTTCGTTCAGGATTAGCCTGACCTACTTTTACACTGCATTGGAGGGACCAGGAGCACACAACTGGCTGCTTGCCCTAGGTGAGGGACAGCAGTCAACAGCTGGAGGGGCTCAACTGCTTATGATGATCTGGCCACAAATACAAATAACCTTTACTTGTCTAAAAAAGCAACCGATTGATCTAGTTCTGCTGAACCTTTTTTTTTGTTTCAGTCATCTATAGCTCTCAGTGCCTCTCTGGGCTCAGAACGCATCGTAATGTACTCACCATCATCTGCTGAATGTGAAAAATTTCAGCTCCAGTGGCTGACAGGCGGTTTGGAAATGAAATTTCAAGAAATGCTCGAGGAAGAGTGCTTGGTCCAGCATTGTAAACCTGTAAAAATCAAAAAAAATGCATGTAAGTGTATAAAAAATAAATAAAAATAAGGTAACATATATGACTGCTCATAAATGGGAAACTCTGTAGAATCAGAGCTGGGAGCATAGAATGATAGAATCGTCTAGGTTGGAAGGGACCTTAAAGATCATCTAGTCCAACCATCAACCTAACTCTGACAAAAAAATAAATAAGAAATAAGAAATAAAAATTACTAAACCATATTCCTGAGGACCATGTCAACCCGTCCTTTGAACACCTCCAGGGATGGTGCCTCAACCACTTCCCTGGGCAGCCTATTCCAATGCTGGATGACCCTTTCTGTGAGGAAATGTTTCCTAATCTCCAATCTAAACCTCCCCTGGCACAACTTGAGGCCATTTCCCCTTGTCCTATCTCCTGTGACTTGGGAGACGAGACGAACCCCCGCCTCTCTACACCTCCCCTTCAGGTAGTTGTAGAGCGCGATAAGGTCTCTCCTCAGCCTCCTCTTCTAAAAAAAATTAAAATACTCCTCTTCTTGAAAAAAAAAATACTATGCAAGTTTTCCAGTGTATTCAGACTAAGGCTTCTTTTTTAAGTACCAGGATAAAGTCAAAGGTTTAGCTTATCTAACAGTCTTTAGGCACAGATCATTGATCAGGTGAAAAGCAGTTTTGCAGGACAATTACCAGTCATCAATACAAATAGCATGAGACTTCTACCTTATATCCAGAGACACTGCTAGTGCTCTTTGAGTGTTTTGGTAACTCTCAGTTAACATTCTCATTTCCATATGGTAACCACTGCATTATGTTCTGCATATGTTTTCTTTCTGGAGCAGAAGCCAAAGTAATGATGATTATGACTACTGGACTGCAGGTCTGCTGAGTGAGTTGCCAGAAAATGTATGTGAACAACTTCCATCCAAGTTCTGGGGTTTCCAGTTAAATGAAACTCTTAGTGGAAAACATTGGCTTTCTATCAAACTCCCCACAAATTTAAAACAAAAACTCAAAGAATTTCCAGTCAACTACTGAAACATATTCAGTGAAAATTCCAAAATTTGTGGGGTTTTGCTGAAAAGAAGCAATCCGTGGAAAAATTTCAATGAAAATAAATTTTCATGTCTATGTACTTTTTTTTTTTTAATTAGAAAAGTATTTCCTGGCTATTTCTAACGCCACATATATAAGTGTCTATAGTAAAAACATTAAGCCCATTAGAATATTCATCCACACTGAGACAGTACTGTCAAAAGATGTTGCAATCAGTTGTTAATTGTGTAAAGTTAAAATATTAGATCCAATGGGTTTTCATTCTTCAAACACTGTTTATATTTGAAGAAATGCCTGACTGATAAAGAAAATTAGTTCACAATACCAAATCCTTACAAAAACCCTGAGGCTCCAGGCAGGGGGAGAAATCCCGCTACAATGGAGCGTGATAAATGCTGAATGAAATACAGACATAATGTTACACATTCTTAAAAAAACTGATTATTCCACTGAGATCAGATAGCAATTAATGCAGAAAATATATTTTCATTGTACATATTATTACCCCCCCAAAATGACGCATAGATCTGTTTCCTTATTAACATTGGACACAGTATAGATTTTCACATATAAAAACCTCTATGAAGCCCTGTAATTTTGTGAATCAACTGGTTTTTCTTGGTTAAGAAACTATTACTTTTCTCCATCTGGAGAAGTTTAATAAATGGCAGGCAAATCAGTAAAAACAATTAAGCAAACAGTGATAAAAACCATGTTTTGCCCATTATGAAATTCTACCCTTTGTCTCTGACACACATAGTTATTAGGTTTACCATATTACTGGAGAGCACATCTGTCAGTTGTTACAGTATAATTTTCTACTTCTATATGGAAAAAAAATAAGATTGCAACTTGCAAGTGTGTACTTGAGAGACAAGAGGATGGGGCAGGTCAAATGATGTCTCTGCCAGCATTTAGGTTCCCTCTCCCCTTGCCTGTTATTAAAAATATTTATCTAGTTAAAGCATGAGTATATCTCTTCTTTATCTGTTTTTAACCAATAACTGCATATGGGGAGATAGGGAAGGGGGAAGACCTGTAAGCCCTCAAGAATGAAATCAGAATCACAAGAATTAATAGCCATGTTCATAAAAGTTTTAATGTCATGAAATCCTGCTTTCATTCCTTTTCAGTAAATAGCTAAAGGCACTGGATGACAGTGGGGGCTTAATTGCTCTGGACCTCAGTCTGTCCACAGAGGCAGATGCATTATTCATTGTGAGCTGAGTGGCATTCATGCCTAGGAGAAAAGAAATGGGAAAATAGGCAAAAGACTGTTTTTCACAATAAATGATTCACTGAATTTCACTGAATTTCACTGAATTTCTAGAGTTGGAAGGGACCATAGAGATCATCTAGTCCAACTCCCCTGCTGAAGCAGGATTGCCCAGAGCTAGAGCATGTTACTCAGTTACCCCACCTCTGCGTGATTTATCATTCCCTAGTTCCATCTAGTGGTCAAAAAGGATTTGAAGTGCTTGTAATAGATACAGTCAGGGCAGCGAGACAAGTTCATTTTGGCTACATCACAAGAGTTTGTTATAATAAATCATCCATATGCTTTGCCTCATCAGGAACCCACCTAACTGCCGTGTGAACTGTAATCTATAGACGATACTTGAATAAAGCTGAGATGCAATCAGACATTTAATGAAACCTTCTCACACCTCTCTTGTTAGTGTTACAGTTTTTTCCGTGTGCTGTGCTCTTATCAGTCTGCTATAAACATTTTCATGTCGGGGGCAGTTAGCAAGTCTGGATCCCGTGCACGGGTGTATGTTTGTTCTCACGGACAAAGGCTTACCAGCTCCTCTATTCAGTGTCCACACCACTAAAAAGAATCACTCCTCTCTTTTGAACCCACAACCACAACGAAGATGTGGCACTTGAGTAGCTGGAGCTCTATACTCAACACGTGATGAAAGAAAATAGAAACAAGTGGTAGCAGCTTCATTCCTATGGAAGTTAGATGCCCTATTTGCAATTCCTGCCATACTAGATTCAGATAAGGAAATATGCCATCCCTGCACTCTGTAAATATGGCATCCAATCAAGAATGCATTGCACAGAATATTGTGACTCAGACACATGCACCAAAGCCCACACTTTGAATAATAGACATACAAAGCCAGAATGTGCTGTCAAGCAGGTAATTTGTCAAAATAAGGATGAGTTTTACCTGCAGTGTGAAGTTGAGAGACTGGAAAAGGCAGTCATGGTTTTCCAATTGAATGAAGTTGGATGTTTCCACAGAATCACCGTAGAAAAATGAAGTAGGGAAGACTTCTCTGAAAGATCAGGACATAGATTTAGTAAGCTGTGTTTGTCACCAAAATTAAATATATTTGTGGCAAACCAAATCATACCCCTTGCTTTCTGGTCATGTGAAATGCTACAGGACCCTTTTACATTAATCTATTATTTGTGATTTGATTTCCTCTTGACAACACTAGACTACAAAAGCAGCATCTCAACTGACCCAGGTTAACATCCCATCATTGAAACAGACTTCTTTGGATTACTTATCTCTTTTTCTCCTTTCCCATCACAAAACCTCTTCTTCAGGGCCCCCTGCCACAGATGATTTGTGTAATACAGGAAATCATTGCACTACCAAGTTAACCTGAAGAAACAGTTACTAATAGGAATACTTTCAGTTACATATTCACTAAAGTAACATTCTAGTTTTACCTACTATTTACGGAGCATTGCAGGAATGAACACTTCATTAATTATCTCCACTACCTTTACGATTAGCAGATGATTAAAGTGGGGATATAACTTGCTTTCAACTACAGGGGCATAGGCCAAGTCTCCTCAACTGCTCTTACCATCTGATTACACAGTAAAATGCAGTAGGGTTTTATCAGAAAAGACTTGGAAGCACAGCACAGTACCTGGAAATCCTGCGGGACTAGGAGTGCTTTAAGCATCTTTTGTGCCCCCTAATCTCAGGCTGCTCCACTGGCTGGAAATGGTCCCAGAGTAACTTCAGAAAAACCTTGGTGAAGGACTGCCTAAAACTCTGCCTCCTTTTCAGGCTGTCCTTTTGGGTCAGAGTTTTTTGAGACAGGATTTTAAGCCTGTTTAGGTACATTTCCTTTTCTCCTGCCTGCCTCCTATGCCAGGCATTGCTAGGGGAAACAGCGAGAGACGGATTTACTCCTCCCATTTACGGCGTTGTGCCAGAAGACTCCTCCCAAACATGGTACAAGCCCTTCTGGGCTATTTATGACCGGGGATGAGGTTTGCTCTCATAGACTCAAATGCAGGATTGCTAATAAAAATAAGCTTTAACAAAAACACTGTCCAAAAAAGAGTATTGCTAATATTACCACGTGTGGGAATGCTGTGCCCTCCAATAAACCCAACTTTTCTACGGTAGTTGGACATTTATGTGAACTTGAATTAACTAAGCCTTGTCTATGGGAAAGAAAAAAATAATCACATAGTCAGTTGGGTGTGGCTTCAGAGACCTTGTGCTTCAAAACAGTACATTCTGAAGACAAAAAGTCCAATTTTATCTTTTTTTTTTTTTTTGGCATGCAGTATTCTGCAGGTCACAAACAGAGGTAAAGAAATAGGTGAAAGCATTCATATCTGTAAAGCTGTAAAAAAATCAATCTGTATTAAAGCATCAAGAAGCAAGGGATACAGAGTTAAATTTCTGCACAATCTGTAAGAATGAAAGCATTCAAAAATTTCAAGAACATGCTACTGAGACTGTTCTCAATATAGAGGAGATTTTTGTCCTTGCTAGTCATCTCATGAGGTCTGACAGTGCTCTTCACTTCTCTGAGCATTCTGACTACTGTGGCAGTAATTAAGGGATTTTATTTCTATGCAACACGAGGGGAAATCAGCTTGGTGTTGCAAAACCCAGACTGGTCCGTGAATCTGAGTTTACCCAGCTTTTCAGCCAAATTACATGTCAGCACAGGTAACTTTGTTCCTACACATTTAGCACACTGGTTAAGGGAACCTTTTCCTATTGATGCCAACCTGCAGTGGTCATTTAGACAATACATTTTCCCCGGAGGTTGCCATAAATGGTGGCTAAACCAGACACTGATCTCTTGAGGACACTGCTGATAATATTTGCTTCCCTTGAGTTTAGGAATGAATGTCAACTTTCTCAGTCTACATGGATGTTAATTCACATCCACTGACCAAGTCCCCCAGTTTCAACTCGAGCACTGCCTAAACTAGAGGACAGTCTGTTGAGAATGACCCCAAATCTTTCATTCTAGACGTAAGCTTGTAATGCAGAAGTGGAAGGGAAGACCCCTGAATACAAAGGTAAGAACTCGCACGTGTGCAGGCCTGGGGAAAGGAGAACAGCCATGTGTTATACAAGTACTTCGGTCAAAGGGTGAGCATGATCCTCAGTTGGTATTCGAACACCTCACAGACTGGGGAGCAGAGGGAGTGGGAGAGCGAACAGAAGCCAATTCTGATTGTGAAATTAAACAGAAAGGCAAACAGCTAGACTCCACTAAGCTCCTTAAAAATCCCAGAACATTTGACCCTAACCTTTGGCCTGGTGATTCTCAACCATACCCTAAAAGACATGTGGAACAAGATGTGACTTACTTGTTCTCTTTTTATTTTATTTTAAGGTTTATCATATCTACAGAGTCACAAGAATTCAAATATGATCACCAAAATACCTACTTTACATGTGATGGTAACTAATTAGTGCTAGCTAGAAAGGAGTGAGAAAGAGATACAGTGCTGGAATGAATGGCATGACAAATAAAATTCCCAGATAATGAGTGAGGTTTTCTGTATTTCCAGTGCCTGGGAAACAGGGAAAAAGCAACAGTCTGGCTACATGTAAACAAAGAGAAGAATTCAGTTTTTCACTGGAAGAGACTCAGATGTCAGTTGTTATTGTTAGGTTTATTTTTATTTTTGGTGTCATTTGCTGACTGGTACTTACCCATTGATAGATGAGTCCACTTCATGCATCAGGGGCACTGACAAGGTTAGAGTATTATCGTGCAGGGAGTCAGTGCGTTCTAGGTTTCCACTGTGCCAGAAAGGAAAAATAAACATGCTGTAAATCGACAGCCTTTGCAATGTATCCCACAGTTCCACAGCTACCATCTCTCCGCCTTCTACCATGAGTCTCTCCATCTGAGTGATGTCAGTGCTCCCTCAGAAGCCTCTTACATTTGCTCTTCCCACCTTGGAGAAGGCACACACATAAAGCATGTGTTTTGCAGCTGTGTAGTGCAGAACTACAGCAGCCATCACCGGGGAGAGAAACCAGGACATTGAGACTCCAGTGCAAGGGCTCGCTTCTCCCAGCCTGACTGTGGGTCAGTTTGGGAGGGATACACACACTTGACTCAGTTAATGACATTGTGCTTTCATTGTACCTGCACCACACCCCAGCACCAATTTAGTGCCACCACAAACAGCTTTTTGGGTGAGACAATTGTACAGAACTGGCCATAACCTCTCAGCAGTTCCACCACCCCTGCCTGGATTTTATTGCCAAAATGACAGCACTTCTACTTTACATTTCCAAAGGCATTTGCTTCAACTGGTCAAAAGTAGAAGGAAGAAAGAGAAAACTAAGCAGTCATCTCTCATTTGAGTCAATTTATTTCAGTGTGAACACTTCTGTATGAAGTCTGGGAAAGGGTCCTGAAATGCATGCCCAACACACAAACTTGTATTTATTCTAATTCTGATGGCGCGTCTGCTTGGTGGGTGACAACTCGGAAAAACAATCTAGAAAGCTATGTTACATTTATTTCCCATTTCTTCAGCAGTACTGGATGTACTCACAAATAAAACTAGCAAAACAAAATAAATGACCCTATTCATTTAAGGACAGTATCACTGAGGCAAGAGCAGGCAGTAACATCCCAAGTGATACCATGCAGATGATGAGTTGCTCAGATTACAAAACCAGAGTGTGCTAGCTACCTACATGCATATATACAGCTCAGCTTTCTGGAACTGACACACTGGCCATGTCGGCTCATAACATGGTGGCCCAGATGGAAGAACCCCCAAACTTTCAGTCCCAAGAAAAAAAAAAAAATTAATAAAAACTTCTCCTCTGAATAGACTCAAAAAAGAGTCCAAAATAGAGACATTTCTCATCCAACATAAATACCAAGACGCCATGGTGGCAAGCAGAATAAGGAAGTAGAATTCCATACAGGGTTCATGGGTATGTGCTTCTCTATTTCAAATGGAGCAAAGGTACTGTCAGAAAAGGTAAGTATAGCTCAGTGAAGCTAGCTCTAGAAAAAATAGTTCGCTCCAGGAGGCAGAGAAGAGGGTTTGCGTTTTTTTAAACAAAAAACCCAATAAATAGTAAATGTAATATAAAGTTTAGTCCTTTCTCCAATTGATGTCTCCCGCTACTGAACCAATCCCTTGTTACAGATGCTACTACCAAATTTGCAGCTTCAAGAGACAGGCTTAAGTAGCCACTTGAAGGGCAATACTTACTTTCCCCTGACAGCATGGCACAGCTTCTCTGCGTCTAGCCATTTCTGCCAGACTAGCTCCAGTTTTGTGTGGAAATAACCTCCCCACTCATTACTGTCTGGCCACAGCACAGACACTTCCATCCCATTTCCTTATCACTGGCTTTATCCCAGGGCTCCCTGCAACTCTTGTGGTAGAAAGATTTTATTACACTTATTTGACAGAGAGGGAATTGAATAATTTTCCCAAAGTCACAGAGAAAATGACGGTAATCAGCACTGGGACTTGCACTGTTGTCTTTGGAAGTTCAGCTGAATCCTTCAAAACACAACTGTCCTCCCACCCATCCTTCTGAAACAAGAAACCTTTTCGTAACCCCTCTGAGCATTCATACTATGTGTACAAACCACTGCTTATTTCTTTGCTCCATCTAAAGGCACTGACTAACCCTTCTCACTGGTAGGGCACAAAAACCTGAGGAGTGAGGTTACAGAGGAAAGCCCTGTACTATCCAAGGTTGGGAAATGAGCAGTACAATCTGGAAAACACTGGCTGGGCAAATTTAAAGCAGTGCTGACCCACCTTTGCACCAGCTGGCATTCACCTAGCAGATACCGATGCTTCTCCCTGATCTAGAAGCATCACGGGGTCAGCTGAACACACAATGAACTCCTCACAGGGAATAAAACTTCTCTAAAGTGCAAGACATGGTCTTGCCCCTCTGATGAGCAGTCTCACTTTCAGAGTTTCATACCAGCCCCACGTGCTGCAGGATCTTGTTCCCAGCTACAGCTGTTCCTGCAGGGGAGGACTACGCCTTAGGAGAGCAGTCACCCAGCAACTGCTACATCTCATCTCTCATCTCCAGCTGGTGGGTAAGGAATTTTGACACAGGAGGGCATGAAGTTGGTAGCAGGAACCAGTCACGCACTCCGCATGTCAGAAGAGCAGTTCCTGGCCCGGGTAAATGCAGCTGTACGACTGGCAGTTCCAACACACGCCTGGGCAGTGCCCGTGACTGCATCACCCACAGAGTCTGCTTCTTTGTGGGACATCCTCTCAGAAGGCACAGAGCACGCGTGTAACCTTTTATTTTGCACGAGATAAAATCCCTATGCATGCATACTTGGCATCACCATTCCTCCAATGCTTGCTCCAAGTGCCCCTGGGAAAGTGCCCTATTCAGCTGTTTCACTCAGTCTGTCATAGCTTGCTAAAGATCCAGAGGGGGGAAAAAATAGACATGCAACTTTGGAAACTGTCAGTGAGGCCCTTCACCATCTGATGAAAGCATTTCTCTTTTTTGGTTTGCATCCAAGCACGCTTGTTTCATTCAAATGCTGGAACAAATGGGTCTGCCTGGTGCTGATCGTCCACTGCAGCTGAGCTGAGCTCGATACAGCGCTCAAAGGGATGGGCACGGAAACACACGGGCCTTCTGACTGACAGAACACAAAATGCTCCTTCAAAATTGCAATTGTCTGGCAAAGAAAGCCTAAGTATGATCCTACCTGGTTTTTCAGTAAGCCGTATCATATAGTTCCTCTATCAAAATACAAGCAAATAAATAGCCCCGGTAATTTAACCTCATTTACAACACATGCACGTGCCTACAACTAATGTCACTTAACTGTCAGACATGCGCAATGCACACTTCATGCAACAAAGAATATTCAAGCCATCAAGACAAAAAAGGTTCCCTTACCTTTGGGCAGTGACGAGGAAAGTAAGGGTTTGCTCCTGCCCAGACAAATGGCTTGTGTCAAAGATCACACTGAAGTCATACTATGCAAAGAAAAAGCAGGATTTAGAGGCATTGTATATTGTTTCAAAATACATTTTTTCTGAAACTTCACATGTATTTAAGTGGCCTACTTGTACAAAAGTAGGGTATCACACATTTTAGAGAGCTTCCTCTACTGTAGAGGAGCTTGTAGCAATACTGTCTATGGTCAAATACTGGACAGTCCAATTTTCCCTTCATTGGGAAAAGGCCTTTAATACAATTGCCATTCAAAGATACTTCTTGAGGAAATCATCTGCCAGAGAAAGACTCTTCCAGTACAAGGGGATCACTACCTGAAACAACCTCAGCACCAATCTATACATTACTTGCTGGTGAAGAGATCTTTTAGGGATATAAAGATTGTGCCATAAGCCCGCAGAGAGTTAGAGCACCACAAGCTAAAGCAGCATTCAGGGCACTCATTGTAATGGATAAAATCAGGTGCTAATTGTGAAAAGAGAATCTATCACTACATTGTACCACTACATTGGCTTTTCCGTGCAACATTTCTACCTAACTCCAAAACAATTTTTGGCTAACTGAAACAGTTTTGAAATTCGTGCTGATTTCAATGGCTTCCTGAAAATAACCTGAGGATAAACCAACTATGTCATTCTGAAGCAAAACACTAAAATTCTTACAGTCCAGATAACATATTTTGGATTTCTGTTTTCTATTCTATTTTAAATCTTTTTAAATGTTTTAAAAAAGCATGTCAATAAAACACATAAACTAAAAAAAAATCATATTGTATTAAAGGATATATCAAATCAAATAGAAAGGATTAGCTTTTGAAATTGAAATTTTCTGAAAAAATTTCAGAGCCATTTTGTTCAGGTCATCCTCAAGTTATATTCCTCATCTTCTCACCTTCCTGGGTTGGTCATTTGTACAGCTCAGTCTAGTGACAGAAAGAACCCAGATGGATTTCTAAACGTTATGAGGGAGTTTGTCTTCTACTACTAAACAAAATCCTCTTTAAAAGCTATCAGGAGACCATAATATGATAAAATCATTAAGAGATTTTCATTGTAATTGAAACAAATTCAGCTGTACTCCAGTGTGAAAGAAGACAAAACCAAAACCAGAATAAGGCAATATAAATAAGAGAGCCCTTTTCTAATTTTCTGCAGAGGAAATATTTAAGTTTTTCATAGATGCAATTCTTGTATAGTTTTTCAAGAGCACTGTATTGCAGTGCATAGAGTACTGCCACTGGCTCTCTTCCATGGGAAAGAGGACAGCGACCCTCCGTAACTGTGAGAGGCTTGGATACCTGGGTTGGAAAGCTACAGAAAGTATCAGTAACAGACATTGAACAGAGCAGTTGCCCTTCCAGCCACTCCTTGGAGACAAAGAGGTGAATGGACCATCACTCTGAATGCAAATATCACAACATAGATTACCCTAGATTTTGATCTCATGAAAGGAAATCCCACGCTGCACTTGAGGAAGTCTGACTCCAGCAACTCACAGGCAATGCCGAGCTCCTCCTGTAAGAAAATAAAAAAGACCATGAGATGACAGATATGGGAAGGAAAGGAGGATTACTAACCAATACCATTGTGAAGAAGCATTGTAGGAAACTAAACATTTCCCACCAGAGCACTGTTATTCCCAGAAAACTAACACTCATTGAATAAGGAGAAGTGCAGTGTTGCACTTCCTTACTCCACCTCAGTCGGACCAACACTGGGAAGAAGACAAGCATCAGAACATTGCTCCGAGAGGCGGATCATGGGGAAATACTGCACAACTAAACACATGAAAGTCACGGGATCAGCCCAAGTTCTTGGGTAACTCAGACCATCAGTTGTTCCCTCTGTTTATTAAAAGACAGCTTTCAAATGGTCCAGAATACAGGTGCCCCAAGGTAGTTTTTCCAGGTACCAGTATCATAAAGAGAGAATTGTGGTGGGAAACAGTGACCATGGTGTGGTTTCATGCCACACACAGATGCTGGAGAAAACATTAAACTGGTCCTGGTGTCATTCACTGCCCTGATCTCTTGCTATGGTCCACAGGACAAACCACAACGATATAGATACCAATCTTCTTTAGCGATACAATGGTAGCACAGATAAAGTAGGGGGATAAAGCTCTCCTTTTGTTAAACAATGACAGACTACGAACATTGTCAATAATACAAATGAAAAAGGTTAGAGCAGCCCTATCCTGCTTGATTGATGACTCCAGTAAAAAACCAAAAATGCTTCTATTGAATGGAAAGTGCCTGGCTCCAGGTTAGCATACCCTCTTCTCCAGATTATCAGAGAACAGTTTTGTGCTTTGTCACCGTGGACAACTTCATGCCACTAAATTTCAGGATTAGCATTCAATTCCAGAATCCGATATGCATTTTCAGCAATCACCTGCTATGTAGGCACCTTTGTGATCTTTGTGATTTGAGTCAGCACTCAAATCGTAGTCAAAGGATGTAGAAAATCGTTCAGAAGTACAAACGTAGATGTTTAGTTTCGACTGGGCTGAATACCTCCCTAGGCCCTGGTATTGACTAAGTCATCACTGGAGCTATGGTATTGATGTTATGCAGCTACAATACGAATGCCTAAATTTAGACATCTAAATCTAAAAATTAACTCTATTCTAGACATATAGCTGAGAATCTCTTAGCTACAGGACATATGATTTATTTGATCTCTTCTTGGTACCTACAGCCATTTCTGAAGGCCAGGCTCTGTGTTCTTATCCATATTTCCCAAATCACTTCAAACATGAGTTCTGCTTTAAATATGTACTTGAAATCAAGCATTTACACGAGTACCACTCTCCACTGGAACAAGCACATGTGGAAGTAGCTTACTGAACCATCGAGTCAGGCTGTAAGCATCTCCAGGAAATGCCTCTCTGCTTCTCTGACCTGAGCTTACTGAACCATCGAGTCAGGCTGTAAGCATCTCCAGGAAATGCCTCTCTGCTTCTCACATTCTGACCTAGCACAGCGTTAGAGCTCTACAGACATTACAATTATCTTAATTACAAGTCCGACATTATTCAGATTCTTGATCTTTTAACTGCTTCCTGTGACATCTGAAAGACAAGGTCTTCTTTATCTTCAAAACCATGGTTCAAATCGGGGCACACATTCATAGAAAACTATAGCCCTAATGTTACCTTTCTTATCTGGGACAATATTTCATTGGTTTCATATGAAAAGAAAATAACACAAAGAGAAAATCCATGCATGCTTAGGGATGCCTGATGGCATGATATGACTCCAGTACTACCCAAATGCCAGAACAGCAGCCTCCAAATTCAGCTTCTTTGTGAATTTGTTTCCCTTGCAATCTTCAGTAGGCTTCTATTTTCAGAAATACAAAAGATGGTACTGCCCAGCAAATCAAATATTTCAGTCATACAAAGCTGCTGTCCTCATATGCTGTGTCAGATTTTCTTCTCCATTTAACACAAAACAGCAGAGCAAGTGCTTCATGGTGAAGCATCCCCTTCACTTGCCTTTTCCTCTTGGCAATCTGGGCGGTTCTCCAGTTTTTTGTGAGTGATCAAGTGAACACAAACTCTAAGCAGCTGCGTAACCAAATGAAAAATTTCACAGCTGCTTCCTCTGGGAACACCCATGGTTCTGTGTTGTTCAAATGTCCCTCACTGGCTAACTGTGGCAACCTATGAACTCTCTTTCATCAGCTCCCAGCCTCTGTTCATTCAAGAGGGGTTTCTATTTACATAGCTGTCTGGTGGTGACAGTGACCAGACAGACCCGAGAGGCCGCCTCCTCTCCTCAAGGCCATATCACTTCAGAGATGTCAAAAAACATGATAGCAGAAAGTAGTCTTGGCTTGATAATGGAAAAAGTGCAGTTCTTCTTCATTTTGCAGCCCTGACAGCAGGCAGGCAGATGCCACTTGTTTTATAATGGCCTGTTACGGAAATGACCGCTAACATTGCGTTGGCTGGTTTTGCTGTTGTTGCTTGCAACAGGTTAATGGATACAGTAGGATTGACTTGAATAAAATGAGCTTCTGTTTTGTTAGCATATCATCCAGTTTAATGATCAATATTAATACAACTTTACTGAAGTTCAGATTGCACATTAGGAAAAGGTTCTTCACTGAGAGGGTGGTCGGTCACTGGGACAAGCTCCCCAGGGAAGTGGTCACAGCACCAAATCTGTTGGAGTCCAAGGAGCATCTGGATGATGCTCTTACTCATATGATTTAGGTAGTCCTGTGAAGAGCAGGGAGTTGGACTCAGTGGTCCTCGTGAGTTCCTTCCACCCTGAGATATTCTATGATTCTACTAATGCTTCAAAGTCAAACTGTTCAATACTAGGAAACTGTAGAAATAAGTTTGCCTGCACCATACTGGTTCAGCCTTCTGCACATTTCTAAAGGCTGCCCAGAAAACTTTTTCCATGGACCCCTTGCTTTGCTCTGTGATTTGGATGGAGAAGCTCAGCTAATGAGTAAACGTTTTGCTTTTCCTTCACTGCCTTCTTTCTGGTTTCAGGCTTTATTTACAGAGCACTGTTTTGGAAAGAGAGAAAAATTGTTTCTTCATAGAGTTTCCTATGGACTTCAGCTCTGCAACACATGGGCACTCTGTAAGTGATAAATAAATTCAATTTTCACACAATTGCAGCAAACTGAAGGGTTGGTGCTGTCTTATCTAGCAAACAGGGAACAGAAACAGCACAACTCAGGGATTCCAGAAATTTTGGATGCCGCTTCTCATCGATGTTAGGTAATGCTTCTCTATGACAATATAACACAGCTGAGAACCCAGTATATTGCATGAGTTTTCATAGCAGTTTCTAGTTTTCTTAGAAAACATAGCCAAAGGGGTTGAAAGTTTCCTTTCCAAAGAGACAGTGTGAAGCTTTATCTGGAAAATTTTGTTTTCTTTCTTAAACGTTTCACAGCATTTCATATTCTTAGGAGAGTCAATCAGATAAATAGCAAGCTAATTAGCCAAACAGCTGTACTATTACTGCATAATAAATGCAGACATGGGTATGAGAAACAAGAAGCTCAGGCTGACTCATAGTCTGTTTCTCAAAGTCCTTTATCACAGAAAGAAAAGTTCCTGATAACTGTAACATTAGCAATGAAACAGTCAAGTTCTAACTGCATTATAAAGGGCAGATGGAGAAACAACAACCTAAATTCTGCAGCGTAATGCTGTCAAACATAATCCATGGGGCATGTGATTGGGTGTACGAGCACAGGAGTAACAAAATGGCCTTAATTTTTGGACATATGTGTTTGAAGTGTAAATACTATGTAAATACTATGGTTTCAACTGACTTGTGCAGGAAGCTGGTAATGATCATGTTAATATAGGGTATAGCAGCAGCAAGCTGGGAATGTTATTTGCTAAATTTAAGACTTAAGAGGAGAAAATTCAGCAATGATCATGTTATTCCCTATCTCCCTGCTGCTTCAGATATTTGCCTGGTGCACCATGCAGTCTTCGCTGGGGACACCAGCTGTCTCCTTCATGGGCATTTGTGGCCCATACCTGCCTCAGGAGAAGTGGGCAGTTGCTGAACATGGGAGCTCGGAGTGTATCTGACTATAGGCTGACAATGTGGAATGTGTCCCAGAGCAATATCTCCTCATATTCTTGTTCCTAACCCACACACTATGTGCAGTCAAACCCTTACTGCCCAAAACAACTCAGATACCTAAGCAGAAGAAAGGGGCTCATAGAGTAATTTGCCTCAGACAGGTAGACAAGCTAGGTCAATCTGAATGCTTAAAACAATGTATTCAGCTTGGTCGAGAAAGCATTTCAACAAGAGTCAAGCATTTTAACCTCATGGATGGTGTGCTGGATTAGGGGATCATTACCATAACTAAAGAGCAATATCCTTTTGCTGGGTTCACCTACCTGATTATCTGGGGATATAACACATGGAACAATCCCAGATTTTGCTCTTTTCCTATCACAGAGATCATAACTGGACTGCAAGAGACCCATGTGTTTCCGAGGCCACATAAGGTAGGCTATCGCTAAGAAAATAGCTTGTCAGCACTAGAATAGGTCATACCAAATAAGTCTTTTACCGCATGTATTTTGGCATTTATAAAGTCTGTCTTCTCTTAATAGTATTTGATGGGCCCAATGTTCTCATAGTGCAAAGGTAGGACCGGTGCCAGCTGGAGCACAAGACTAGATTACTTTAGGTATGATCCTGGAAAAGGCCCCTTATTAGAACCAAAACCCTCTCAAAAGGCAGATGCCATTTGTTCCCACCTCCTCCTGAAACAAATATTTTTAGAAGCTTTCTTAAATTTTGTTTACTTTGACCTTGAAGGGTCCTATTCAACTTGGCTAACTGCCAAATGCAAGACTGAAGAAGAAAGAAAAGAGAATGCTTTAAGAAAACGGGAAGAGACAAATGCTGGTGGAAGAAAGGTTTCCTGGGCTCTGGATAAAACACAGTCACAGGTCACAGATTCTACCTCTGGGAAAAGTCTTCATGCTGTCATACAACAATGCAACATGTTGC